CCTCCCAACCTGACACCTCAGCTTCACTTTCAATGCCCCAAATCCACACGCAAGAGGGGAAAAATCTGTAGTTTAAAATAAAGTGGAATTTGCCTCTCATTAAAATGAAGTTTGTCACCTCAATCATAATTTGTCCTTCCCAGCTGTAGAAAAAGGTCCATTAACACATTTTTTCCTTCTCTAAATGAGGCAAGAGTGGGTAGATTTGAAAATCCTGTGGGCAGTAAAAAGAAACAGAAAAGCTCTCTCCCCCACCACCCCCAGGTGCCCCCCAGAAGCCAAAACATCATTGTAATTATCAGTCTGGGAGCAGGCTGAGGAGAGCACCTTGGAATGGTTCGTTAAAGCACTAATTAGCAGGAACCGGCTTCAGCTCTGGAGACTGGGGGGCTGGGGGAGTGGGCTTCAGTCTCTCCTCCCCTGCTCCCACCCCCAACATTCCACCCACTCAGCCTCATCTGCTTCATGGGCATTTTCTCTCAGAGCCCAGGTCTCTGCCATAGCCCTCTCCCTTGAGGCCTCCGTCTCCACAACTGAGCAATGGGAGGCTGGCCCATGTGACTTCTGAGGACCCCTGGAGCCCAGATACTCTGGTCCTGGGAGGATTTGTCAGACAGAATGACAGGCCCTGGACGGGGCAGGCTGGTAGGGAAAGCTGCCTGGAACTCTGTGCGCTTTCAATGCCAATATTATAAAATGATGACCAACATTTAATGAACACCTGCTATTTGCTGGGCTTGACTGAATGGACTCACTTAATCTTGGCACAAGGTTGTCCCTCCCAATGTCCTTTACAGATGAGGAGGCGAAGTGACAGCTAGTAGATGAGATCTGAACTGAGGCAGGCCACACTGAGCCGCAGCCCTGCCCACCCGCTGGAAGCCCAGGCCTCATCCCAGCACCTGACTCCAGGACCAGATCCACGCAGGAAGGAACGCAGACTCCTCCAGCCCTTGGCACCTTCCAGCACATGTGGCCCTGTGAGGAGGGAACTATTACTGTAAAGTGACACGCAGGGATAAAGGCACTGGCCTGGGGTCACACAGCCCAGGAGAATGAGGATTTTAAGAATACGGACTCTTGAAAAGGAGAACTACAGGCCAATATCGCTGATGAACATACATGCAAAAATTCTAAGCAAAATTTTGGCAACCCGAATTCAGCAATTCATCAAAAGGATCATACATCATGATCAAGTGGGATTCATACCAGGGACACAGGGATGGTTCAACATCCACAAATCAATCAACGTGATCCACCACATCAACAAACTGAGGAATAAAAACCACATGATCATCTCAATAGATGCAGAGAAAGCATTTGACAAGATCCAACAGCCATTTAGGATAAAAACTCTGAACAAAATGAGGATGGAAGGGAACTACCTCAACATAATAAAGGCCATATATGACAAACCCACAGCCAACATCATACTCAATGGGCAAAAACTGAGCGCCATCCTCCTGAAAACAGGAACGAGACAAGGATGCCCTCTATCACCACTCTTATTCAACATAGTACTGGAGGCTTTGGCCAGAGCAATTAGGCAAGAAAAAGGAATAAAAGGAATTCAAATAGGGAGGGAAGAAGTGAAATTCCTGCTGTTTGCAGACAACATGATCTTATATATAGAAAACCCCAAAGAATCTATTGGAAAACTTTTAGAAGTAATCAACAACTACAGCAAAGTTGCAGGATATAAAATCAATTTGCATGAATCAGTAGCATTTCTATACTCTAATAAAGAACTAACAGAAAAAGATCTCAAGAACACAATACCTCTCACAATCGCAACAAAAAGAATAAAATACCTCGGGGTGAATTTAACTAAGGAAGTGAAAGACTTATACAACGAAAATTACAAGGCTTTTCTGAAAGAAATGGATAACAACATAAAGAGATGGAAAGACATTCCATGTACGTGGACTGGAAGAATAAACATAGTTAAAACGTCCATTCTACCTAAAGCAATCTACAGATTCACCGCCATCCCAATCAGAATCCCAATGACATTCTTTACAGAAATAGAACAAAGAATCCTAAAATTCATATGGGGCAACAAAAGACCCTGAATTGCTAGAGCAATCCTGAGAAAAAAGAACACAGCTGGAGGCATCACAATCCCTGACTTCAAAACATACTACAAAGCTACAGTAATCAAACAGCATGGTACTGGTACAAAAACAGGTGCACAGACCAATGGAACAGAATTGAAAGCCCAGAAATAAAACCACACATCTATGGACAGCTTAACTTCGACAAAGGAGCTGAGGGCATACAATGGAGAAAAGAAAGTCTCTTCAACAAATGGTACTGGGAAAACTGGAAAGCCACATGTAAAAGAATGAAAATTGACCATTCTTTCTCACCATTCACCAAAATAAACTCAAAATGGATTAAAGACCTAAAGGTGAGACCTGAAACCATAAGCTTCTAGAAGAAAATGTAGGCAGTACACTCTTTGACATTAGTATTAAAAGGATCTTTTCGGACACCATGTTCTTCTCAGACAAGGGAAACAATAGAAAGAATAAACAAATGGGACTAAAGAGCTTCTTCAAGGCAAAGGAAAACAGGATTGAAATAAAAAAACAACCCACTAACTGGGAAAAAATATTTGCAAGTCATACATCTGACAAAGGCTTAATATCCATAATATATAAAGAACTCACACAACTCAACAACAAAAAATCAAACAACCTGATCAAAAAATGGGCAGGAGACATGAACAGACATTTCTCCAAAGAAGATATACAGATGGCCAATAGGCACATGAAAAGATGCTCATCATCGCTGATCATCAGGGAAATGCAAATGAAAACTACACTAAGATATCACCTTACACCCATTAGAATGACAAAAATAACTAAAACAAATAGTAACAAATGTTGGAGAGGTTGTGGAGAAAAAGGAACCCTCATACACTGCTGGTGGGAATGCAAACTGGTGCAGCCACTATGGAAAACAATATGGAGATTACTCAAAAAATTAAAAATAGAAATACCTTATGACCCAGCCATCCCACTACTGGGTATCTATCCAAAGAGCTTGAAGTCAGCAATTCCAAAAGTTCCACGCACCCCAATGTTCATTGCAGCATTATTTATAATAGCCAAGACATGGAAGCAACCTAAGTGCCCATCAACAGACAATTGGATAAAGAAGATGTGGTATATGTATATATATACAATGGAATACTCAGCTGTGAAAAAGAACAAAATCGTCCCATTTGCAACAACATAGATGGACCTTGAGGGAATTATGTTAAGTGAAATAAGCCAGATAGAGAAGGACAATCTCTGTATAACACCACTCATACGAGGAATTTAAACATGTAGACAAAGAGAACAGATTAGTGGCTACCAGGGGAAAATGGGGTGGGGGGTGGGCACAAAGGGTAAAGGGGTGCACTTACAACACGACTGACAGACAATAATGTACAACTGAAATTTCACAAGATTGTAACCTATCATTAACTCAATAAAAATTAAATTAAAAAAAAAAGAATGCGGACTCTTGCCCCCCCTTCACAGCCCTGGAAACTCACTCAGGGCCAGTCAGCCCCCCAGAGGCCCCACACAGAGCCGAGCTCTCCTGCAAAGCCCTCCTCTGGGAACCTGTTGGAGAAGCTGCGCCTCCCTGGCTCAGAGGCCTCATGTGTCCTGCCTGCTCAGGGGTCTTGGGCCTCTCTCGCCCCTCTCTAAAATCCGGAGAGCGCCCCTCAAGCTCCTGCACGCCCTCACAACAATGCCCCTCCTCAGTGCCACACGTCCACAGCTCCGCAGGGGTCCCTGAGTTATGACTTCTAGGAGGGCTCCCACCCGTCCTGAGCTCCCACTGGAGCAGCAGTTACAAGACCCCAAATGGGGAGCTCACCCCACCCTGCCCCGTCCTCAGCGGCTCCCACAGGGGGAGGCTCACGCTCTGACCGCTGCCCTGCCAGACCCTCTGGCGGGCCCTCTCTGGGGAGAATGGGCAATGGGGGCTGGAGGCCATGGAGGGACAAGCCCAGAGGTGGTGAGAGTGTGCAGGGAGGGTGCCTCGATTTCCCGGAAAGTCTTCTTGGTCAGGAGCAAGGAGCACTGAGGCTGTGGGCTGGGAGCCATGGTGGAGGAAGCTTGGGGCCTGACGCTGGGTGCCGACTCTAGCCCCTCTTGGCCACTTTCCTCTGCAGACAGGCGGACCTGGGTGAAGGGGAGGATGGAAATCCAGGAGCATGCATTGTTGATCCCTGTGACCTGGGTCAGGAAGCTTCTCTCAGCTACTGTTGCAGAGTTGCAGTCGGACCCATGACCTATTGTCCTGCCGCTCTCATTACTGATGTTGCCGGCCTGAGCTGGGTGGGCAGAGGGACTGTGTGTGTGGTGGGCACTCATGCTGCCTCAGGGGGTTGCACGTGTGAGCCTGTGTGTGGACGGGAGTGTGCCCTGCGTGGGAGGGTGGGAACGGGGCTCCTGCAGGACGCCCCACAGCCTCTGGTGTCCGGGCTGTGTGAGTGGAACTGGGTGGAGGTTGCTCCTCAATTCTGAGGTGGAATCTAAACTGGAAGGAACTGGCGGGCAACAGGCTCTGGGTGAGGTGGGAAGGGGCTGGAGGGCTTGGCTGGGGACAGAGTGGACCTGGGGCTCAGCTGCAACACATGTGAGAGGAGCAGAACCACAGGCCCAATGCTCCTGTCATGGGCCATCTTATCTCCTAGAACTCAGGATGGTAGCACCTTAGGCCTTTAGGGACAGGCCCCAAACAGCCCCCTCTCTCTGTCAGGAATTCCTTCTCCAGTCTCTTTGGCCATGGCCATCAAGCCCCTGCTTGCATACTTCTGATGACAGCAAGCTCATCACCACCCAATGTAGCCTGTCTACCCATAGCTTTAATTGGGATCCCCCTTCCTAGACTTGGCTCTGCCCGGGGCAGTTGGTGCCCATTGCAGGCCAGGGTTTGGGGGAAGGGTTCTGGTCCCTCAGAGATTTCTGGACAGCAAGTGCAGCCCCTGAGCCTACCATTTTCCAGGTTGCAGGTCCCAGTCCCTCCTTGCCTTCCACTTGCTGTTAGTGTGGGACCCAGGCTGGAGCACTGACAGGCTGGGTGGCTGAAGGCTAGTTCCTTGCTCTCTCTGAAATGAGACAACTTAGGTAAAGCCGTGGCCCCAGAAGCTCTGGCAGTATGGGCCCACCACACTCAGCCCTAGACAGGGCCCCGCATACCAGGCATGACTGTCTCCCCAGTTATCTCCTTCTTCACACCAGACTCACTGCTTCTTATGACACAGCCTCCCACAGCCTGAGCCAAGGCTCTCCAGCACTCTACCCTATATCTGTGCCTCTCCAGGCCTAGAACAAGGCTTCCTGTGTGCCCATCCCTAAAGAGTTAGGGAAGGCCCTTAACTCTGAAAATATCTCCCTGCTTGGCCTGTCTCTGAGGTTAGCCCCGGGCAAGAGGCCAGAGGCCGGAGGGTCTCCCCCAAACCTAGGCTAGCAGCAGGCACCCTACTGTCCCCCTACACACCCAATTCCAATCCCCCATCCCTCCATCAGCATCCGCACCATGCCCTCATTAGCACAGCCGGCTGTCCCCAAGCCCCAGGCTTGGTGAGTTACAGCCCATCCATCCCTTCCAACGTCCTCACCACTGCCACCATGGGCCCATGTTACGGCGTGCACATCTGTCAGCCTGTGGCCACCACCGCCACCACGGTTTCCAGGGAGACAGACTCCGTTTATGACATTATCAAAAAGTCCAGCCCCTCCCTCCCCCCCCACCTCTATCCCCACCTCCTTTTATGGGGACAGAGATTTGGGCTGTAAATATCACCACATCTTCCCTGCAGACTCTAGCGGGGCCTGAATACATTGCCGCTGCCAAGGCTGCTGCAACCACAAACACTCAGCCACAGCGTGTTAATCGGTGCACTGCAGATTCACTCTGGCCGCCCTGGACACCCTCCCTGCCATGCCCAGGGCCACTGGAGAGTCCTCGGTCCACCCCTCGCCCACGCACTCCCTGCTGCCCTGCCAGCCCTAAGACAGGATCTGCTCCCAGCAGAGTAGGCTGGGGCTGGGTCACCTGCCCAGGGCTCTGGTGGGAAGGAGGGCAGGGAGCTGACTCTGGCTGAGCCCCCGACTTGGGGGCCCCAACATAACAAGCCTTTTGTATACCAGCCACCAAGCCCTTCTGCCATTAGCCCCACAGGCAGCTGTTATTAAGAGAAGAAAACCAAGCCTCTAAGCTGGTCCATGGGGGAACCTGGATTCGAACCCAGAATGGTGGACTTCAAAGCTCCTTCTACCACAGTCCCGGCTCCCCAAGGCCTGAGGGTTAACAGCTGACATGTTCTAAGCATTTTACATGTTTACAGGTAATAATTTAAGCTTCACAGTGACCCCATGAGGTTGGCACTACTAATATACCCATTTTACAGACAAAACAGAGGCGTAGCCAAGACCACACAGCTTGCAGGTGGAGGAGCCAGGATTCAAAGCCAGGCAGGCCCCAGAGCCCAGCTCTTAAGGGCTCTGCTCAGAGCAGCCTTCCAGCCTGGCCAGGCAAGGCATCCCCACCACCTCAGGGAGACTCAGCCCCTTCCTCGAGCCCACCCTGCAGAGATGGCCCCCGTCACTGAGAGTACACTGGAGGAGAGAAGCCAAGCTGACGCATTGTAGGAGTTCATCCCAGCCCTCCCCACCTGCCAGCTTAATCAGAGGGGGACCAGGAGGAGCAACTGTTCAAGATTCAGTCAACCATCCGGTGCTGGGCAAGTGGTACGTGGTGGTATTATTATTATTGTCATTGCTGTCATCATGGTGGAGGTTTGATCCCATCACTGTGGGCATTCTGCCCTCATGCCCCACAGGAAGGGACACGCACCCTCTCCCCATGGCCCCAGGACACTCACTCTCTCCAGGCCTGTGTTAGTTTCCTAGGGCGGCTGTAACAAAGGACCACAAACTTGGTGACTTACAATAACAGAAACTTATTCTCTCACAGCTCTGGGAGCCAGAACTCTGAAATTGGTTTCACTGGGCCAAAATCCAGGTGCGAGCAGGGCTGGTGCCCTCCAGGGGCCCAAGGGGAGAATCGTCCCTGGCCTCTTCCAGCTCCTGGTGACCGCTGGCATCCTTGGCTTGTCACCACATCACTCCAGTCTCTGCCTCTGTGGTCACATCACCTTCTCCTCTCTGTAGTCAAATCTCCCTCCCCCTGCCCCTTGTAAGGACACTAGTGATTGCATCCGGGGCCCACCCAGACAATGCGGAAGGATCACCCCATCTCAAGATCCTTAACTCAGTCACAGCAGCAGAGACGTTTTCCATGTAAGGAACTTTCAGAGGCTTCAGGGATCAGGACATGAACCCCTTTGGGAGCCATTATTCAGCCAACCAGAGTCACCAACCACCTACTCAATACCCCTCCTGGACAACTAACAGGCTCATCAATCTTCACATGTCGCAGCTGAGTGCCTCATTTTACCCAAGCCTGACCCTGCTGGCTTCCCCATTTCAGGTGGTAGAACCCCAGCTGCCCAGCTGCCCAGGCCAAAAACTATGGGTCAACTCTTAACTCCTCTCCTCTCACTCCCACAGCTGATCCCCCATCAGCAAGTCCTGCTGGCTTTACCTTCAGAATCTATCCAGAATCTGACCACTTCTTGCCACCCCCATAGCCACCAGCCTAATCCAAGCTACCATCCCACTCTCCTGGATTATTGCAACAGCCTCCTCCCTGGACCCCTGCCTCCCAGTGTCCTCAACACCGCAGCAAAGGGGGCCCTTGAAACCCAAGTCACAGACGTCACTCTGTCAAAACCGTGCAGTGACTCCCGTCTCACTCAGAGCAAAAGCCAAAGGCCTTACAATGGTCTGCAAGTTGCGGCCTCATTGGCTCTCTGACATCAGTTTCCACACCCCTCTCTCCCTCCCTCCCCTCTCCTGCCACTCTGGCCTCCTCCCTCTTCCTCTCACAGGCCAGGCATGCTCCCACCTGGGGGCCCTTGTTTTCTCACCTCGAATGCTCTCCCCAGGTTTCCACGTGGCCCCTTACCTCCTTTAGGCCGTTACCTAAAGGTCACCTTCTCAGTGAGGCACCCCAACCCCTGACATGTTCTTCTCCCCCTTCTCTAGTTTTTCTCTTTGACATTATCACTACCTAACACAATACGTATTTTGCTTACACACCTTGTTAATGTCTGTCTCCTCACTAGAATGTAAGTTCCGTGATGACAGCATCCCAGGTCCAAAAATAGTGCCTGGACCAATGAGTGCTCAGCAAGTACTTATCCATTCATTCACTCCTTAGACAATTATGGAGCCAGGCACTAAGGAGGTACTGGGACCCAGTGGCAGACCAGACACAGGCCCTGACAAGGACCATCCGGAGTGTTAAGCACAGTGGCAGGGAAGCCCAGAGTGCCATGAGGGTTCAGAGGAGGCAGGGACCAACTCGGCCCAGGGCGTTGGGGAAGGCTGTGCTTGGGAGGGCTTTGCAGGATAAGTAGGCATTCACTGGCTGGATGAGGAGACAGCTTCACACCCGGCAGGAGGAACAGCAAGTACAAAAACAGGGAACAAAATAGTAAGACTGTTCTTGGGACAAGGGAGACGGCAGGAAGGGAGGCTAAAGGGGTCAAGCAGGCGCCGGTTCGAAGAGTCTTAGAGAACAGGCAGAGGGGTTGAAGTCTTCCCTGTGAGCAATGGTACATGCTTGTGTGTGGGACGGACATGCAGGTGTGGATGCCTGGAGGCTTCCCCACCTCAGATGACCAACAGGCAGCCAAGACCTGGGGGGAGGTTAAGGTACAGGGTTCACCCACCACTTGCCAGGGGAAGGAGGTGGAAATTTCCCCCAAAGTATGGCCTCAGCCAGGAAGCAGCTCAAGCCACAGTGTCATTCTGGAGCCCCAGTGTGCCCAGGAGGGTGCTAGAAGGAGACCTGGGGGAACAGTGTACAACATACGCTAGACCGTGTGCTTCAATGTGGCCAGGGGATGGGAGGGCAGGGAAGGCCCTATGGACTAATTGTGTCCCCAGAAGTTCATATGTTGCAGCCCTAAGCCCCAACATGACTGGATTTGGAGTAAGGAAATAACTAATGTTAGACGAGGTCATAAGAGTGAAGCTCTATTCTGATAGCATTAGTGCCCTTACAAGAAGAGACGCCAGAAGTCTCTCGCTCCCTCTTTCTCTCTCTCCCTCTCTGCCATGTGAGCACACAACGAGAAGGCAGCTGTCCAGAAGCCAGGAAGAGAGTCCTCACCAGAACCCGACCATACTAGCCCCCTGACCCCAAACTGCCAGCTTCCAGAACTGTGAGAAAATAAATTTCTGTTGTTTAAGCAACACAATCTATGGTATTTTGTTATAGCAGCTGAGCGGACTAAAACAAATAGTGAAGTCAAGGAGAGCTTCCTGGAGGAGACAAGGTTTTGGGCCATCCTGAGGCTTAGAGACAGGCCAGATCCTGGCTGGTTGGACCTGAGGACACACAGCGGGCCCAGCCAAGGCCCATCCTTCATCAGGCCTGCAAAGCCTCAGCAGCTTCTTTGGGGTTTAATTCCTCTGCTGAGGAGCAGACGCGGTCGAGGGATTGGTGGAACTTTGCATCTTCCACTAAGTATAGCCAGACCCCTCGAGACAGGGCAGGAGGTTGGGATTTTATGGCTCCTGAACACCATATCCCAGCTTCCCCTTTGCCACCGTGAAAGGTAACTCAGCCTGGCCCGAGCCAGCCAAGAGTCAGTGTGCAAGGGCCTCCGCCCAGCCGGGGATCCCACCCCTAAGGGGTGGCCTGCAAGTGGAGACCTGGGCTAGGCTCTGAATGACAGGAATGATCAGGATGCACAGAGAGAGAAGGTTTATAAATAAATGTACATTTTCTAAGACATGTTTAATTAAAGTAGATTAAAATTAATTTGCTTTAAGAAAATTAGAAGTGCCCTAGAGGATTCTAGAGCAGGGCCAGAGTCACTGAATCCGAAGACTCCAGAGAAGGGCCCCAGGGCATGGCAGGGGGCACGTGGTCTCCAGAGGAGGTGGCTCACATTTACACAGCACTCTGTATATACTGCTGGGTATAGTCACATGGGATGGCACGTGTGTCCAGCCCCACTTTGCCAGGGGGAAACCAAAGCCCAGAAAGGACAGTGATTCACCCAAGGTCACACAGCATGTCTGCGGCAGGGCTCAGGGGGAAGCTGCTGGTCCCTTCTGCCAGCCCTGGGCATTTCATTCATGCTCAACGTTCCAAAAGCCCCTCTCCCTCTGTGCCCCCAGCCCGAGCTGCTGCCCCCCAGAATCCTCCCATCAGCAGGGTGGGGACCCTTGCTCTGTGACAATCTGGCTCCTCTGAGGCCTGGCACAGGGAGGTCAGAGGGAAGCAGCCTGGGGTTTGGGGACAGGAGGCAGAAAGGGAAAGGACCCAAAATCAACAAGCGTTCCAGAATTTTAAGCAGTTTTTGGAGGAAAATGAGGAGCAGGTTCAGCTGCAGCAATTTGCTCCAGGGGAAAATTATGTTCCTGTGCTACATTATACAGAACAGAAGGAACATTTGGTGGGTTGAATACTTGTTAATTTATTTCTCTGTTTGTTAATGGGCCCGACGCAGGCGCATGCTCATATGACACACACCAAGCATCAGCAGGAGGTGGTGCCGGGCTCCCGGGCTCCCCAGCTTTCCTGCCACCATCC